CGATAAAATGCAGGTTGTTTACAAGGAATTAACACACAATTGGGTCAATTCCAAGGTTGCTGAAAGCCAATTTTCTGCGTAGAAAAAGTAAAAATGCGGGAGAATGCGTGGAAAATTCACTATCAGTAGCATAAAGTTTCATGTGAAGTTTTTCAGTGGTGTTGGATAACGCGGTTCGAATACGTGATAAATGCAGGTTGTTTTCAAGGAAATGGCATGTGATGGAGCGAAGTCTAATGTGGCAAAATGGAATTTGATTTGTCAAATACAATTCAAGCACGTGAAAAATTGCCTAATGTTCACGTAGTGCAATGATTGGGTATGTAAGGCATTGAAAGAAAGCCAGAATGACTGGAGATGTACATGTACAGGTTCCGTTCCCAAGATTGATCTATCTCAGTATCAATCAACTGAGGATAGATTATGCCCCTTTTTTCATAACAGCTCTTACAAATTAGTAAAGAGGAGTCAGAGTCATTCATCAGTTGTACCAGGATGCACATAAGTAAATCAAATTCATGCCTTTAAGTGCTCCATTGCTGGCATTGAAATCGCTAGTTTTCAAGAAAACTCGTAATTTTCCCAAATAATATTTTTTCCATGTACAGGAAGAAAAAAAAAAGATCTGATGGAAATTCGTCTATTATTTCTAAAACTTGAAGAAAAGTTTGTAATTATGTCGCTAAAGGTACCCTTGCCTGTTATCATATCTGTTTCAACCGTTCTTCATCGTGTTCTTACCTTTATTCATCTTTCTCAACCATGAGACTGATGACGACCCTTGCAAACGCGCTGCAGACAGATGAACTCAAACTTTGATTTCTGAGTTGTTTGATGGTTTCTCAATGTGTTAAGATCCTTCAAGGATAGAAACACGAGCAAAACCGTCAAAGAGCATCTTATGCTGTAATTGAGAGTTTCCCAATTAGACTGCTGCTTTTTAAGTTTGTAAATTGCTTACTCTCAGCAATTTGTTGGTAAATGAATTCCAAGGGGGTCTAAATTTTAGCGAGGCAATGAATTAAACCTATCGATGTGGCCTAGCAAACACACGTCCTTCAAATTGTTCTGTCACATGATTCCATGGGCAGTGATACTCAGCTTTTCCAAGCGCAGGTTGAGCGAAAGAAGCTCTCAGCGTCCATTCATTTTTGAAGAATTTTCATAAAAAGATAGCAGTGATCCTCTATATCCCTCTATTTCAGAAGAAAAGGGCGCTACAAGACTTCGTTGTGGAGCTAAATTCAACAAGAAGTAACCTGCAAGATGCAGACGTCAAGTTGCAGAAATCTTTGGCTGCCGTGAGTTCATCTCTTATGGAAAAGGTCAGGAGACGGAGTTACATTTCAGATTGAATGCTTTCTCCTTTCTTCATCTGCAAGGTCTCACTTATTAATATGTGCACATGATAATATTCTTATAATATGGTGTTATTCTTTATATCGACGGTCTGGCCTTTACGACGACCCTGTTGTCCTCAATCCTGGAAACGTCATTAGGCAACGTTGAAAAGCTTAACAAGACGCTTGAAAACTCAAGGAGTGAGGTAGGTTTCCTATGAGGCAACCATCGATTCACTTGTTAATTCGTTCTGCTCGGGCAAGTTTCACCGAGGAGTTCGTGATTGTTTCAAAATCCAATACAGGTGTTGTTAACTTACAGGTATGTACAATTCTCTGGATTACGATATCATATACATGGATGAAATAGTAAAAATTACTGATGATTTGTCAATATTTCTCTAATCTCTAGTTCAAAGAGAATGTGTCGTCACTGAAATCAAGTTTGAACTCTTCAATTGCCAGCTTACACCAGAGTGTGGAGGAAATGAGCAAGAATAATTCCAAACAGGTACTTAAAGAAAATAAACGATATTTTTTTCCCTGCATATGTGCAATAAGTTTCAAACAAAGGAAATGTTTCGCAATTATTTTATTCTTTTTCTTGTCCCCTTGCCTTAAACGAGTGAGTGCTGTTTACAATTTTCCTTAAATCATAGTGATTGCAGTCTTCCACTGCGTTTATTGTGTCTTTTTTTCTTCAAAATTTTCTTTATGATTCGATATCACCCGATGCTTCATGGTTAATAGTTATGGGAACATGCTCGGCCTCGGAGTCTGGGTCCTTAAACTTGCTGCATCTTGGGTCGTCTGGACCTGTTGGGTACTCACCAGTCCAGTACAGATACTGAATCCACACGTTCATTTTTGTGAACACTGAACGCTGATTTACAAAAGAGGAAACAATTAGATTAATCGGAACTCTCACGTATTGTAGCCATCAGTTATCTTTCCATATACTTAATCCTTTTAACGTTTTAACTACATGCGCGATTACATTCGATGCTAACATGATTTGGTACACGGCTTTAATTTATGACCCTTGTGGCTGTAACAAGTAGCCATTACTCCAATCTCATTCCGGCAATAATTAACAATTATTTGTTTAAAAATGGAGGATAAAGAATAAAGCCAAAAATAAAAGGATTATTTTCCTAATTGCATGGCATCTACCAAGTTTTACGATGCCATTGTTTGCTTCAATTTCCTCCCTGGGCATCAGATAAAATATCCTCTTGATTTTAGTCAGATGTAATTGCTTTAAAAAAACGGATCGGAAAAAATCTGGAGAGGAATAAAGATAGGAATAGAAATAGGCAAGATGCATATGAAGGAAGAACCTTTCTTAACTGCTAAAAAGTACAAGTAAAACGCGAACTTTGACGTTAAAATATTAGTTTTTCTCTGCAATGGTGAATTAACGCGTGTGGAAAATTGCTAGCCTAGAGCACTTGGGGATTGTCTTTATTTTAGATGCCCAAAAACTTCTTAGTCAAATCTAATAACTTAAGCTTACATCAAATTCCTTGCAGTTTGCGTCTGTTATGCGCGAGCCACTGGCAATACAGGAAGTTTTGTTGTCAATCGGTATGGTCATTTCGTAGGTTCCAAATGGACTCCGGCATTCTTCTGCTCCGAGAAGTATGTCATCACACGGTGAACCGCTGAGATAATGGCAGCACATCGGTTGAAAGCGGTTATCGTCCTTGCCCATACAGAAGAGAGAATCCTCTGAAAATTTGCGAGAGGAAATGTTTTACAAATGATTTGAAACTGGATGTCCATTATGTACAGACTTATCTGGGTTATGAAAGAGGCGTTTTTTCAAAACGCTCCACGCTCCGTTTTCATCAGCGTTTTCGGGTGTTAGTTGATGATAGGAAGAAAAAACGCATGAAAAAGTATGCGTTGAAGAACGAATTGGTCTGGTCAGAGTCTATCCTCCGTTCTGCAGGATGTCACGCTTTGATGATAGCGTTGCGTGACGCCTGGAAGAAGGGCTTCCCCGAAATACTATATAGGGTTAGCCTTTTAAATCATCACTTACTGTTTCCTTGTGCTTTTTCTTTGTTGCATCCTTCGGAATTAGTGATTGCAAATCGGTCGAATTCTAACGTCCGCCATGATCCTAAAGGCTGCCGGAATTCCCTGACATTCCCGTTTCCATCTCTAAAGTAAGAGCCACTGAGATGTCTTAATTTAAGATAAACCCTCGGTGGGTAATCACCGCTTTGAGATCCTTCACCTTCTAGCTCAACGTACATCTAAAAAAGAAAAGGCGAAAACGGAGAACAAAACAAAACAAAAAATCATACAGGTTAGGGCGAACAGAACTTAATTCTTAGGGACAGTTAGAAAAATTATCTCTATTGACAGTCAAATTCCCTATTCGTACCAAAGCTTGAACATGTTTTAAAGTTGTTTTGTTAAATCACTGTTTGACATTATTTTTTCCGTAGGAGCTACTTAAACCAATGTTTGCCGACTTCAAATTAAGTGCATTGAAAGTGCATGTTACTGACTAAATAAACCCCACGGAAAATCCGGTTTTTCAGGTTTCTGTACGTCTCTGATTTTCATTCAGTTATCAGCAAGGTTAAACACGGCTCAACTAACTATATTTTTCTGGCGTGAATGGAGTATAACAGAGTTGTTACAAGAATAACAACTCTGCAATACCATATGAACAGCTTGCTCTTATGGTCGACAATTCGAACATTAAGCTTTTGAGAGTCATCCCTGAAAACAGAGCATTATGCCAAAAATTATGCTTATGTGTTTTCATTTTGGTCCATGTAGTTATTAAATTTAAGAGCGTTTGAAAGTCAGTGAGTTACTGAAGAGATCATAAACTGTATATAATCTCGTGACGTTAGTAAAGCCTTAGAACCTTGGAATATCGAGTACGTGAGGTTCTAACCAGGCTGTCAATGAAGTAACCTAGCCGTAAAAATTACAGAAAAGTAATAGAAACTAAAAAAAAGGGTACTAGAAGTTAGTACTGGAAGTGCAGCTTAAAGCGTTTCATGTACTCGAGAATCTTACTCATTATGCCGGCTTTATGTGTTAGCATAATTGATCTGAACCTAGTTATTACCTTCAAAAGGCGCACGTTATAACAGCGATCGCAGCTATCTGAAATTTTCAATGAAAACCTCGTAGTGCCCTCATGAAGTTCGTCGAACATCTGCAGGAAACGAAGAAGAAACTTTAAGTCACCAATTTTATAATAATAAAGATGAAATCTAATGCAGAGGTTGATTTAAGAGAAATGAACTAGTATATTGATTTTCTAACGGTCACAATCGTAACAAGGTAACAAGCCACACGGGGAACTGCGAAAGTTTGCTCAGAAAGACAAAATGAAAAATTGAAAAGGCAAATGAAGAAAATGAAATGAGCGTTTAACGAGGTTTTCACTCAATCCAAGGGGGCTAAACAGCCAATTACTGAATGAACGACCGAACGAAAAATAGCAAAAAAAAAAATGGAAAACAGGGAAACAGTTCAAAAGACATCAACAGCAACATTAACAACTGCAAAAAAACAACATCTGTTTTATTTAATAGCTCACTGTAACAAAGACAAAAGAAATACACCACATACCACGTTGTCTTTAGTACTGTTATTATCAAATGTCCATTTGTGCGTGGTGATTGTGTGGCGAAATCTTGTGAAGCATCGCTGTCCCCTATTTTCGATATCATCGATTCCTTGAAGTGCTTTTGTAAGCTCTAAAATCCCTTGGAGATTTCCTGTTCCCTGAGCGGCTAACACCGCTTGCCGTTCGAATTCTGCTAATTTTTCCTGAACAATCCATAGAGAGCGAAACTCGAAACCTTTGTACAACTGGTACAGTTGTCGTGCAAATCCTGTCTCTATCTGCTGATAAGACGTAAGTAAATCATCCAGAAACATCTGCTGCGTGCTTTCAGCGATGGGAGAATCTGAAAAGGAAATATTTTATTATTAGACCTTTGCTTACTAAAATACAAATACACCATCATGCTAATTAAACAGAAATTATGAAAAGCAGCGGTTGTAAGTTGGATGAATTTGGAAAACGAACCTGTCACGCTTAATATTCGTTTTCCTGCTTATTTACGGAGAGAGGAACATCAACAGGGAAAGCGTGAAGCGACGTGGCCTTCAAGCTAAACTTGATGGGAAATTTCGGCGAGAATGTATAGCCACACGTCATCCTGCATGTGCACGACCGTGCGTGCGATCGTAAGCGCAAATATCATTGTTATAAAAAGAGGTAGCATTGATGCGATGTATAATCACAAAGATCCTTACCACCAGAGTTACCAAGGCTTTCAATTTCATTTGCTGTCTCTTCTAAGTTAGGAATGTCAAAGTTATGTCCACCGATTTCGTTATCCAAGTCCATGACCTTTGCTATGAGATCGATTCTTGCTGCACCGGCGATAAAAAATCGTTCGATCTGTTCTTGAAACTTTGCCGAGTTTCGGGGTTTTGAACTCTCATCCAGCAGGCAAACAAGATCCGCTGCAAGTCCCTCCTTGTTCATTTCCAGATTAGCCTTTTTATAAGAAGATAAAGAAATCGTCATGAGCTGGATATAACTTGGGAAACAGCAACAAAGTTAGGGTCGAAGAAAGAGGCGTACAGACAAACACACAGACAGAGAGTCAGAGAGACACACAGAAAACAAAACAAACAAAAGAGTAAAAATAAATGAGTAGATAAACAAACAAACAACAAAACAACAAGCTGTTAAGAAACACAAACATAGATATCGAAGATGCAGCATTTCTATGTTTACCTGCATTACTTCAGGTACAGCAGCCACATCCATTTGGTCAAAATCCAATTCACTTGAGTCTTTCAGGGCAGCATAGTCCTGTCCAAATTTCAACCATTTTTCTACTTTACCCAAATTATTCTGAAGTTTACCAAGGTCACATTTGCCAGCAAAATGTCCGATCACTCCTAGGGCTGATCCAAGGGCGGCGAAAGGATCTTTTCCCATTGCACCACTAAAGAATCCTGTTACTCCTTCAAGAATGACAAATAAGTCGTCGCTGTTAAACTTTGCTTTTTTGTACACGTCTGGAAGCATCGCTTTTGCTTCCAGTAGATTGCTCTTCATGCTGGCCTCCAGCTCACCAATAGCCTGGTGCAACAAAGACATAAAATTGTAATGTTAGGGCAAGGATACGTAGAATAAAATAAGACAAATGAGTTATTATTTTCAGTCGCCTATCGTTATTTAAGTTACTCTTCAGAGAAGATGTTGCTGAAAAGAAATTATATGTACACGGCTTGGTTCCCCCGCGTATTTGCGTATTTTTATTTGCGTATTCATTATCTTCAGTTCCAACCGACACATGAGTTTATCTTCGCGTTCACTGTTGTCAGTATCGCGAAAGCAGCCTTTACAATACTGCGATTTATAACATTTCACAAAGTTAAGATAAACTGGTATAATTTTATGACGAGAGTGAATGGAGTTAAACTGTTTATCTTTAAAACTCTTTACGATGACCAATTTACCTTATTTACTCTTAATTACCCTGTTATACTCTCCCACCGACGCAGCGCCCCAGTTTCTTTTGAAACTTAACCCCTTTATTCATTAATATGTTAAAGATTGAAGTAAACCAAGGAAGTTCAATCTGAAATTTCGCCGTTTGGCTTATCTTTAGCTGGAGTATATCCGGAACCCCTTAGCACGAAGCGACAAGGAGTAATGCCACGCCCAATGGACTGGATGCTACGTCATCGCAGGTTATCCTTCATCAATCCGCCCGACTTCTCTAACACTTCTCTAACACTTCACTGGTGCTCTTTGGTGGAGAGAAGTACTTTAAAAATAAAATGTCTTCACCAATATTGACCAGCTTTGTCTTGAACCCAGACCTCGTCGCCCGACCAGTGCGTTTTCCGTAAGGCCTTTGATTTTCTAACACTGTTAGAAAAGGCTATGGGACTAAGCTCCACTTTGTTTCTAAGCTATACTCCCACGTATAGAGTCGAGGCATCTGGTCAGAGCAGAAGACTTGTTCATTAGTTGTTTCCCTTTGAAATAAATGTTTTAGAGAAGGACAGGACGCCGTATGCAATGCCCACGTTGACAAAATTCGCTTACGAAAGTGTTTTGATTCAGAGTGTTTCAAGTGAAGATCGCCGGTATAGCATTATTCATCTTAGAAAAATGTAAAAGGGAGGATTAGTTAGAGATCTCAGTTTCACAGGTTGATGCCCTCTCGCTAAGAAATCGGTAGATAATCGACATGGAGGTTTCGACACTTACCAACACATATGCTCCCTTTTCGCTCACTGCTACCCGTCTGGCCTCTTCCAGTCTGTTCTTTTGCTTTACAACTTGAAGTCTGGCAGCCTGTGGTAGTGCTTTCAGTATTGTCTTAACGTCATCACGCCGTTTAATCGATTCTTTGATAGCATTGTAAGCGTCCTCAAACGTTTCTGCACGATCTTTGATGACTTCGACTTGTTTCTTGAAGACCTCCCATTTCATCATAGGTGCGAACAGCTCGTTATTCCCAAATCTGTCATATCCTACTTTGTTCATAAAAGCCAGTCTTCTCTTTGCCACTAAGAAATAATCCAAGCAAATGATTAGCAAGGGAGTTGATATCTGCTTGTGTACCGCTTCAAACTCCCAATGGGGATTTACATTTCATTTCTGATAACTATTTACCATTTTAAGGCTGTGCCTCCAGTCCTACTTTTTTGTTCCTACCACATTTTAAGGTCTTCCGTACTATATTACTGTACAAACGTACGGCAACATGGAATCTACGTATTTATTGCCGGGATGAGATCATGTCTTTCGAAAATAGAGTTATCAGCAAATTTCTTTTATGTAGTTTCTTTTCATGAAATACATTGTAGCGAATGCACCAGTAAATTCCGGACAGTTACTCAAACCATACAACTGAATCGTAACCAGTGGTTTCTGAAATACGATTAACTAAATTACACTACAACCAACTACCGACAACAATAACTACGATTACAAAGCGAAACATAAAACGACAAAAAACAACGCAAAACGTACCTGACGGTTTGGATAAAGGGAGTACAGGGGTGCCATAAAGAAACCATGAAAGGACGACAAACTGAATAACATACTGTTCTTTTCGCGCGAAAATTTAAATATATACATATGGGCGCAAGGGGATTGAAACCTAATTGGCAGATAAACCGCTGACCCTGAATTTGTTGTAACTTACATTAAACGAAAATATATTCGAAAATGCCGAACCTTTTGTCAATTCGGACGCTCCAGGTTTGCCACTTGACAATTTTACAACAAACTTGAAAACAGCGTCGCTTTTTTTGATATTGTTAGCCCAGAGAAGGTCTTGACCATATCTTGTCATCATCTTTATCAGCTGCAGAGGATACTTTTTCAATTGCTTGAGACCCAAACTAAATTTCTGAAGATAAGAACTTTCCACCTGACCATTGGAGCCTTTTGCTACGAGTTCTTAAAAGTAAAATCGTAACAAAATTGAAAGTTGTTAAATATGCATTTAAAGCGTAAACTTTAGACAGAACGGCTAATAACTAGTGTCCTAGCATTGCCCCACAAATTAAAATGTTTGGAAGGAACCTTTCTTCCCATTCCCTCCCCATTGCAGTATTGTTGAACACAAGACCTGAAAACATTTCATTTCAGTTTTCTTTCTCGAGCCAACACCGCAAGTTTAGATAGGAAGAAGGGGAACACTTAAACTTGAAACAGCGTTCCACTCTTTTCTCACGTGTAGGAAGCGTAAGACCGCCTAAAATTAAATTAAAGAATAAATAACGAATAAACAAATGAAAAACCTTGTCCGTTGCTTCCGCTTCTTCCAGTTGCTCCGCGAGTGGCCTCGCCAGTTAGTCCGGATGATTCACACCAATGACGACAGCGCAGACTAAAACGCGGACATGAGCTCCCCTTCCTACAGTTTATCCCGCGGCCACCACGTCCTCCTAGACCACCTGAAAACAACAATTTCTTTCAATTGATCAAACTATTCTTGCTCAGTTGATGCTTCTGCAGGTTGATCTGCCCATTTGTCAGCTGGTCATCAATCCACTTTCAATCCAGCCTCATCAGATTCCTTTGCGGGAATAAAGAATCCTCTAAACTTTGCCCCGCTCCCAACATGCACTTGGGATGCGCAGATTCCAGTCCAGTCTAAGCCTGAATTTCTCACCCTTCTTTTCTGACTGATTGCAGCTAATTTTTGAGGATCATACCTTCTCTTGATTGCATTCCGCTGGTTAAAACATGATTGTTGAAAAAGCAAAGTATAGCGCCATAGAAAAACGAAGGCAATGTCTATTAGTCGCGTTGCCCGTTTATTTGGAGCTATCGACAAAGAGTGACACCAAGTGGCATACGTTGTGCGACAATTACAATAACAACTTGTCGGTGCCAGGGTTACAAACTATTACGTAATTGCCTTTGTTCGTGGTTTTCGTTTTTGCTTAAGTCAGTTTTCGCGTCGTCGTAGTGTTTTTGACCTTTCTTAAATAATTCATATCGTGAGCCGAGCTTCTTGCTGATCCGATGAAGTATTGGTAGCAAATTTGTGGTGTTTCGTCCGACCAATGATATTTATTCTATCATAGTGATAGGAGAAAAAGAAAAAAAAATTGGCAGATAATTGTACCCTTGTGCAAAATTTTATTAATGAAGAATTTGTGAGTCCTCACCGGTTCCTCCTAATCCGTTTAATGCCGCCTGCCCTCCAGTCCCGCGACAAGATGTTAATTCGATTTTCCCTCTCACTTTCAGAACATGAAGAGTTTGACGGCCTGCATCACCGCCATTTCCTGTTGTTAAGTTTAATAAATAAATAAATACATAGGTGAGGGACATAAGTAAATGCAGTGCATTTAAATGATGATTACTACTGTTTACAACACAGTCAGTCGGTGTACAAGTAATCAAAGTCAACAGCGCTAGCGCGAGTGCCACAAGTTTCCATTGTGCGCGGGGTACAGTAAAAAACGTGCGTGTGCCTGGCAGGGGAATTACCATATCAGACATATTTCGCTGCTTCATGGAAAATGCAAGGAAACAATTAGTTCATACATACAACGATTTCCAGCCCTGAGAAAAGCCTTAACAACACACGTGAAAAAATATCGTGTTTTTTTCTTGTGTATTTGACATGCCCAATCAGCTGCTGACACGTCACCCGCCTTTCGCGCCACTCAGTCAGGTTGATGAATGAAAAAATCCGTAGGGGAAGAAAACCAAAATACGGGAAGAAAAATCAAAAGTTACGTTCTCAGTGGCCTTGGTAATGGCGTTTCTCGCGGCTGAGAAGGAAAGTCGACAACTGGAAGATTTGCCACACACCGATTTTGGCCGTTGACTCGAAAGATTTCTTCTGTCGGTAAGGACCTAGTCAATTAATCAGAATTTAGTGTATTGAAAATTACATCCATTGTTTGTTTTTGAAGTGTTTTAACACATTTTCTCCTTTTGCGCCTTAGCGCCAACGCGATTAACGATTTTTCTTCTGGAATTATCGATCCTTTCATTTTCATTCATTAGTATAAAGTTGACTTTTCTAGTCGGTAAAGGGCTATTGTGTTTATATGATCAGCAAAATAATACACGATTACTTGTAGATATGTACTCGTTTTCTGCGCTCACTCGTGAGCTATCGAGTTGAATACTCGAAGAGAAACTTTATCTCCACGCGCGTCATTTATTATTCTCTTTGTTTCGACCGAGTTGAAAATGGAAATTGGCCACCGTAAAGAATTTCTAAAGCTAAAGTTTCAAGCGTTAGCTGTTCATAATTCCCTCTGAAAAAGGACGAACGTTCGAAACGTCAGCTTTAGAAATTCTTTACGGTGGCCAATTTCCATCATCAACTCAGTTGATAACACTAAATTATCTTGTTAATCCCAAATTGACGCAGCACCACGTTTTCTTGAGAAGCTTCTCCCAACCGCGCGTGGTTGCGGCGTCGGGAAAGGAACTATTCTTAACTGCCCAAAAATTGTCAATAACGCTAGTAGCGTTATTGACAATTTTGGACAGTTCGGTTAATCTCAAGAAAAAAAAATTAATTTACTTTATCAAGTTTCAGTTTTACCTGATCTCCCACCATCTCCGCCATTTGCTCCATTTCCACCTGATATACCTCGTATCCCTGCAAAGTGTCTAGTGCAGCCAGTCCTTGTTTTGCCTGCTTTGCAGTTAGAGTCTGTCCTGTCCGGTTGCTGTTTGAATAGTAAAGTTAGAAATAGTAATTATTGTTTGTTGACACAAAACCTCCACTGTTAGAGTAAAAACCCGTTAAATTATCAATAGTGATCTTCAAATTTAACAATTTGTTTCAGTTTACAACATTTCCTTTTTTGTAATGAAAGCTTTGTAGTCTGACATATCATCATAAACAGTGGAACTGTCGTTATTCATCACCTGGGTGGGGGAGGGGGGGCTGTAGGGGTTCGATTGTGTCTCGATAAAATTCACCTGATTCTTTCTATTCTTATCCCTCCTCCCCCCTCCCCCCTCCCCCCTCCCCCCCACTCCGATTGGCAGTTAATTTGTAGTAGATTTTCTATAGCCCACCTTATTACCCCTCTTCGTTCCCGAAATCATCCACCATCCCCTCCCCCCCGTTCCCTGCAGGCGATAAATAATGACTTTTCCCTTAGTTTTCTTATATCACGCACGTCAATTATTGAATAATGTACCTTGTGCATGCTGTCGGCTGCCTTTCTTCCATTCGCGCCATTTTGCCCCGGTTTTCCATTTCCGCCATTTGTTACAATATCTACATAGCCAGCAATAATTTCGGCGTAGACTGTGACTGTCAAAGTCGAATTAAAAAAAAAGAGATATAGTGAAAATATTGCGTTGCATAATCCAAAATCGCGACAATTTGCGACCCCATTCTAATGACTTTGTTGAAAAAGGAACCCCATAACAGTCAACCCAGTATTGAAAAAGCGATCCCATCCAGTAGCACATCTCTATCAGCCTATTTCGAGGGAGTAAACCTCGGGGATTTGGTACCTCTCGACTCCCACACAAATGACATTTGGTCCTGACCCACACAAGCAACATACAAAAAAAGGACAGAAGATCATGGCCTTAAATTTCCGGCAGTCCTTAACTCACCTGCTGGACCATGAACTCCATGCTTCCCATCATCTCCATCGGAACCTGGAGACAGAATATTTAAATTTTGCTCTAAGTCGGGAGCTCTGAGGTCCAATCGACTGTCTTTCGTAAAGATCACCTCTCGGCTGAATATTGTCAATCTTTTCATACCGCGCAGATCCACGTGACTCTATGGGAAATAAGCAGAGTGATTCCTTACATGCAATCGAAACCGCCCTGAGGCACGTCAATGTAGTTTAATTTGTAAAAATACTATTTCTAATTTTTATTTGAGTTCTATTGGACATTCTGGAATGAAACGCTTTTTCGATTGAGTGTCAGAAACCAAGACTAATTAAAAGTGATCTCAACGGTCAATTAAATGGCCTCGATTGCTACAATATGTTCTTCATCTAACTGTTATTCGTGGAGGTCTCGGAAACATAGGGGTTCAGTTTTACTGATTGAAACGGTTACCACTTTTTTCCTACCCACGGACATTTTGTATCCTACTAGGACCAATGGCACCCAGTCAGTTTTGTCGTTTCGTAACCATATTAATTTATGTTCGTTTTCTATGTTAAGTATGTTTCTGAACCCACTTTACTTGAAAGTGTGGTGAATTTCTGATGTCAAATACCGCAATCAGTAGCAATATAATCTGCGGTGAAGAAGTTTTATTTGCGGGGTGTCCAGTTTTTATGTGACACCCTTACATCGCGCAAGGCAATAATTATGATTCAGTGGTTATCGTTAAGAAGATTACAAGTATGCGCAAGAGAACTTTGTTTGTGTTTTACCCGTTTGTCTCTTTACTAACGTGTCGTGCGCAACAGTCAACATCTCTTCTTGAGATCTCCTAGCTTTTGATCGTCACTGAATATTGGACGGGTACGAATTGAAACAAACTGAGAACGAATCGTCTGAATTTAGTACGAATCGAATGAATGCAAAAGATTCTTGGGAACAAACGAATGGGTACAAAAAACAAATTTCCCTTATCCAAAGTTAACTGTAAAAATACCTACCTTAACATATACAGTATCAGATAGAATTTCAAGCTCAATTCCATTGGCTCGCTCCTGGTTCTGTCCAAAGGTTACCTCTCTTTTTATACGAAGATGTTTTTGAACATAATCCATGTGGACATTCCGACCAAGTACTTGATAACGGTCTGTGATTTGTTTCAAGGTATAAAAAAAATGCGTAAATTGTTATAGGTACTGTCTAATATTGTTGATGATAACCATGTACCATGGAGTAATGCCTCGTTGATTATCTTATCTCTACTAAGGATCAGTAATCACCTTGGGGAGGAGGGGTGCGGAGTAATTTGGGGGATCACGTGGTTTTAAGGGGGTAGGGGGACTCGTCGCCAACATAATGAAGGGGGGATTACAGAAAATCGACTGCCAACGAGAGATGATCATAACGATATTATAGAGCCTTGGGGAGGGGGGAGGGAAAATCAGGTAAATTTAATTATGACACAGCCACCTGCTTGCAACCCCCCTCTCCCTCCCCCCTCTCTCTCCCCCCTCTCCCCTCTTCCTCTCCCCTCCCCCTCTCCCCTCCCCCCTCCCCTTAAATAATGACCGGTCTCTTACCTGAGAGAATACAGCCGTAAAACTCGGCCCTCATAGCAATATGGTTATTCCATGATTTTGGTTTTATTTGGACATCGAGCTGTGATGGGTTGCAACAAGACATGGGTAACCACGGTGTTCCGATCTGCATTACCAGTAAAAACCTGAAAAACGAAATTAACAATTCATGTGACTTCACAAGGAATTCAGATAACATCCGCAAAGACAATCGCTGGCAAATTTAGCGAATTTCAAGGAAGATCGATGCATGCACCGTTGATGATGTTTCACGGCGATTCCAGCGCCATAGGACCTCAAATTTCAGCAATCAAAACCATTCACAGCTGTTTTTAGGGAGGAGAGTGAGATTGGCTGACTTACTGATGAACGACTAGAAGCACAGGGAAAGACCGCCATTTAGAATTGCTAAACAAACTGTTGCACTTTGTCTTCGGGAAAGTCAAACAGTAAGTTTGGCTTTATTTAAAAGTTGATAAAGGTTGGTTAACCACCTCACTGAATTTCAAAAAGTTGACGATTCGAATAAAAAACGTCAGCTATATTTACATATGGTTGAGAATCAATGAGAAGCCGGATTTGTTACTCATACAGACACAAACTTAAAAGAATCAAAGTGCTCTGTGAGCAAACTCGTAAATTGACACATGATTTTGACACATGAAGTTTAATGTTATCTGGTTTAGGAAATTTGGTGGTTGATTGTCATATCTAGAGTACGAGCAGTAGTTCAGTATTCGCTAATGTAGCAAAGAAACAAAGTAACGTTGGGATAAGAAGGCATTACAATTGAAATGATCATGCTATTACATTTGACAAGGTGGATGATGTCATGTGTTTTCTATCATTTTTGTTTCTGGTTCAAAAGAAAAGGTTGAAAGTAAATGTGGGTGAGAAGTGAAATTTACTGTCTTTCATTGTAAATATTAGAAAATCAAGGCAATAGTGTCTTAATGAAAACATTAACGATTCCCTCTTTATCAAATCAGACAAACTGGAACGAGTTTTGAGTGATATAACTAAGCCAAGCCTGCCACCGTCATTTTGGATCTCCGCCTGGGTAGATTTAAGTCACGTGCTAGGCAACGTATAATCAATAACAAGATAGAATTTCATTTCAGGCCTATTTATCAATTTTGTGGTGTGTAACTTTCGCATTTTAGTACGTTGTATGTATGTTGAATCTTCAAATTGTCTTGAAACTTAAAAGAAAATTGTTCTTTAAAAATTCACTGAAAATCGGTAGCTAAAATTGTTTGTTTAGGTGTTATCTGATTTTCGTGTTAACTTGTAATTTCGTCAGTCGCCGGCATCTTTTGTTGCTTCACACAGGAAAAACACACGCGACGAAACGTAATTATCAATTTTGTCCTCAATCTCACGCCATAACAGAAAAAGCTTTTGAACATCTGTAAACTCCGAGCGCTTCGCAGTAAGTAATATTTTCAATGAATCTTCGGATTGTTTTCGAGTTCAAGGATTGTAAATTACAATTTTATGAAAAACGAAGGTTGTTCTGTTATTTCAGTGTGAATCCTTGCATGCCTGCCAGTCGCTGGCGCCGCTTGTTGAAACTAAATCGAAAAAAAAAACTCTTTTAAGATTATCATTGGCTTCTTTTTCACCCCACCACTATTCTTAGCAACAAAGGTCGCCATTTCTTCTGTTTACTGTTCGCTAAAAACTATCAAATGCACTCAAAAGCCTAAAATCTAAAAAAAGTTTACAGGAATCGACCAATCGAGCGAGCGAATGCCATTCCCCACATGGTATCTATAACTCGCTCTTGCGCATGCGCGCAATTCACAAGTTAAAAATGGAGATAAGCGGACACGAAATGGCAATATGCCTTATGAAATGTGACCCCCATTATTAAAACTAAATAAAAATTGCATAAAAATTCCAAAGCTCCTCACAGCCCTCGCTACATAAGCTGCAACATTAAGGACACCACTGCACCTTATCCAATTCATTCTCTTGATAGGTCTGAAAAACGTTGCTGCCATCCGCGCTGTAAGCGAGAGTATAACTTTTCACCCATTGTTCGCCGTAGTCATTACGTCCCTGAGTCGCAAGCTTCGTAATTTTCACATTTCGTCCAAAATCGATTTGAAGCCACCGATTGAGATCATTGCTTCTCGCTGACCAGGCACTTGTTTTACCTCGGGCGGCTTGGCGGTTTAGTCGGGCGTTCTGTTTTCCGTGTGCAGTATTCCAAGAGGATGAAGCGGTAATCTGTTGATCAGTAATGAGACCGCTCTCTAGCCCAAGTGCTTCTTCGCCCGAACACGCTGATGAGAGAGTTCAAAATAAGTAGTTAGGGCAACGTATCGAACGAATTTACGAATTTTGTTAGTAGACTGGGTTGCATTGTCTTTTGCTAAGAGAATATGTGTTGATATTTTCTTGTTTTTGCTAAATTTTAATTCTGATTGGTCTAGTACACATGCGAACAGGCATTATTTATCGTCTGGGGTGGAAATATCTTAATTGTGTGTATGTATATATATCGATATATATATATATATATATATATATATATATATATATATATATATATATATATATATATTTGATAAATTCATTACCTGCTTCAAATTTAACAACTGCCGGTGTCTCAAACCAATTCATTGGAGAGTATTCTACTGTCCCATCAAAAGATTGATTCCCATACGTCAATTTCGCACATCCTTCATCTACAAAATATAAACACAACTGTTTTTAAGAAACGATGCCCTTTAAACTGTAATAAAATATCTCTTAGCCGACACTGGACTATTTTAAACACTTTAATCCTCGAATCTTAATTTAGATGCAACACAGTTCATACAGAACGGAAAGTCGCTCTCTAGTTCGACTACCGAGACACACCGTGACTTGAAAACCTCGTAGTCTCTTGCACACAAATAATGTAAGAAACACCGTTCAGTCCTTTCCTTACAAAACATTTAATTTTAATCTCCTCTATTAGAAAGTAATGAAATATTTCCTGCTTTAGATTCCAAAGAGTTAAAACCAAAAGTTTCCAAACTTATTATTAAATGTGCTGAAAACTCGAACTGCTGAAGGGCGGACATAAATGATGATTTCTCAGGATAGCCAAGGCAGTGAGTCAAGAAAGCACTATGGCTTTGCTTGTGAGGCCATATTACTAGCTCTGTTTACAAACTGAAGGCATCCATAGTTGCCTTTTTAGCACTAGTAAGATAATATTCTTGCGGTTGGGTCGCGCTATGAAATTTCAAACCGCGTCTCGGTAACTAGTAAATTTTTGCAAGTACTTTTCTTTGGATTAAATTAAAAGTATTGTGGGACAAAATTCTTTGATGTTAGCCAAGGATCATTCACTCAATCGATCAACTTCATCGACTCAATAAACTATCCACCGAATATCGAAGCATCGAATTACAGTGGAAATACCTGCTGTCAAGGTACCAGCCACCAGCCACCAGCCACCAGCCACCAGTCACCAGCCACCGGCCAAACAGTCAGACAATAAGGTCTGGTTTCTCTTGGTATAGGTGATACCTTATGGACTGTGTGGTTGACCGATAAAACGAAGAAATAAACCCGCGAGAAGTCTTTTAAAACATTTAGTTTAACATCCTCTCGATGTAGTTGCTCGCAAGCATTCTAGCATCAATAAATTTTACATCCTTTCTGTAAGTTTTAAGTGCGACATTTTTTATGCGTTTTTTTTTCTATGCGTGTTTGAAGTTCAGTCTTTTCACCCTGTAACTAGCAAACGTTTATACTTATTGTTTCATTTTTTTATACTTATTGTTTCACCTTTTCATCATTTTATTGCCACCTAATTGCCGCCGTATTGTTACTTCACATAATTTATCACATAGCAAGCTATATGCCTGTTTTCTCGTTTTCGCGCTTGGCGTAGTTCAGTAACGTACCGCTGTTTTCGGTCGTCCTTTCCACTCTTTTTTGGCCCCAGCAGTTTCGCAATAGCAGTATTAATCTTGGTCTTTCTGTGGCCGTAACAATGTAAGCATTTTATAGTCCTCTTTCCGTCGTGTTGTTGTCTATTTCTTTCTATCGTATATTGTGTGACTTTTGTGATTATTTTTAATTTTACTTTCAACCTACGTCATGTACGCCGTTGAGGAATTGAAGTGAATTTATTTCTACACGACTTGGGCTTGTTTATTCCGTGGCCACAAATTTGGCGTAGTGCAATTTCACCTTCAATAAAAATTACATCATTTCTATGGATTAAGACACATGCACTTATACTGCGTTTTATTTTCTAAAAAATATGTAGCATGATAAATGCGTTTTTAATCTTTTGTTTTGACAACTAAGCTAAGTACTGACATAGCTAGACAATAATCTAGCTATTACTGCTCTTGGTATACTTTGATATACGCAATAAACCCAACACTAAAAGAAAAATTCATCAAAATCTACATGCATGGAGAAACTGATTGGTCTAGGAACCACCATAACGATTGCTATGATAACTTAAGAATTGTTATTTAAGGCATTAGAATGTTTCTCCAGCAACCTCTCTTGGCAGATTGAGGATATAAAGAGACTAAAAAAAAAACTTATTAGGAATGATATCGGTTGCACTGGGAAAATTAAAACATCGCTAACTTTTGTTTTTCTTTCTTTTCTTACTCAGTGACCTACTTTACTTTTTTTTTCCATTTTACTCTTTTTTCTGTTTACATAAACACTATAGATGAACTATACAAATTGACAAATGTGGGAAATTTATGAGAAATAAGGACTCGAACTCAAAAGATAAAGCTAAGCAAACGTGACAAATGACTTCTCAAAAAAGGAAAATCAGATTTCTTGGAAAAAATTCCTAGCCTAAAACGTTTATGCTTCACATACCTTGCCACTGATTTAAGAGGGACCACCAACACCTAGAATTTGAATGGCGAATGAATACTTTTTTCCATTCATATAAACGAAGCTGGAAACTGACCTTCTGCACTTGTCAAATCCAAGATTGCAAGAAAAAGAAACCCCAACAAATTCTTGGAAGGATTCATGAAAATTCGAATACTTCTTGTCTCCGACTTTACTTCACACAGTCTAATCAGTTTCCTTTCGAAATGTCATGTACTGCGACTTAAATAATGAACTGGGACAGGTAACGTTACTAAATAAGAATCAGTTGAGTTAACGGAATTAACTCAATGAAGTAAAATTATTACCTGTAGTAATTCTAGCAGGTTTTGTACGGGTGACACAAGTATATCCCAATTTTTTTTTTTTAACTTTCAGTAACATCCTGAAAATCCGAGTTTCTTTCATCAAAATCCTTTTGACCTCAGTGATACAATGGGATATACAAACAGCACCATCGTATATTTGCAAATTCTCATTTTTTGTAATGCCAATCAGCAGTTGAAAGTCCGCAGTACTTGTAAATTAAGGAAGGGGAGGGTCCTGAAGAGCTGTTGCCTTCCTTAGTCACAGCTTCTCTAAACTGATTAGCCCAGCGCCATACATAAATGTTGGGACAATGAAAGTTTCAACAATTTGGATCTTACATGAAAATGGCTAAATTCCTCTATTTCACATCTTAAGCTTTCCACTGTTAGAATCAATGATTTCAGCGAAGTTTTACTTCTGCCGTGGTTTTTTATGGGAGACATTCAAATTTTTTAAATGCCTCTTGACCTTGATTTTTCTAGCAAGTTCATTAAAATGGTTAAATATTATGACAGAACTACCTAAGAAAAATAATTCCGTTTCTTCATAATTGATACAAAATCGCTGGCAGATCGAAAATCTCCGGTCTTATCCACAAACCTTTTTAGAGTCATTTCTCAAAGAGGCTCTTAGGTCATCTGCAAACAGCTCCATCTTAATCTATTATTTATCTACTTTGTTCAGCTGCGTTTTCAAATCCTTACCATCGAAATCTCTTAATTCATCCACACAAAAACGGGCGAGTGCGAAATATCTACCATGCACTAGTCTTTCCTAGTTCCGAATAGTCCACTCGATCCTTCTCGCCGCGCGAGCACGAACCTTCACCCCCCATTCGCACCTCCACAAGGAAGTCCTCACAAGGCCGCTGATGAACTGATGAACTGATGAAGGGATCTTATCAATTGAGGATTACAATAAGAGAATGTGAGATGTTTTCCCTAAGGCAACGCCCATCAAGTTATTTGAGAATCAAGCTATCCTGTTTCTCAGTGCTAGATTAACATTACTTGTGAAGCGCATTTTACTTGAATGTTTTGGTTCCTTTAGTTTGAAAGCGGGACCAAGTTATTTGCATGGAAGATCCCTTGTTCCCACTAAACGGGTGTGTAACAAAGTCGACCATTTTAAGATCGGAAAGAGACCAGCCACCAGCCACACAGCCAGTCAGGATCGAAGCCAGTGGAGCCTGATTAGTTCTCAGCTTAATTCAAATGATAACTGACTGATTCATGAATGCCAGCCTCAAGTAACAATGTAATAAACTCGTAAAGCCCTCTATACCCTAAATCATTCCTTAAAACGAGTTGGAAACTATATTTATTTCAGTTTTTTTCGTCCTTCGAGACATTTTGACACTCAGCTTCATAAATATTTAGTTGTTTTACCACACCATAACCGAGAAGTCAAGGTTGAGATGTTGTTTCATTTTGGTACAAACGCCACTCTTCACATCATGCTTTCGTGAGATATAGTATTAGTGCACCATGAGAGATAGAATCAATAATATCTGCAGACAGAAGAACATGTTTTTCTTTTTTTTTTTCAAAACAATGATAACTGTTAACGGTCATTAAAGAAAGATGTCACTTGTCTCCTTTTCTTTTGTCTCAAGCTCGATACAAGATGAATCTTTTATTTCCTTACCGAACTTAATATTTACTTTTTTCTCAGAGGGCACGGTAACGAATCCTGCAATCTGATTGACTCTTAGCGCGGTCTGTACTTTCCTACCTCTGTCAATGGGCACGGTGCCGTTTCGTGAGTCGCTGAGTAAATCCCTACCTTCGCTGCCATTTTTCAAAAAAAATATTTCTCAGAC